TTGGATTTTCCCCAAAATTTTTTGGATTCCGCCAAATTTTTGGATTCCCCCCGGATTTTGGGGTGCCCACTCACCACCCCTCCCCTCTCCACCTCGATGCACCCTAAACTTTTGATTTCCCATGAAATTTTGGTATCGCTCCAAATTTCAGCCATTCCCACCAAGTTTTTTGCTCGTAACTGAAATTTTTTGGATTTTCCCCAAATTTTTTGGATTCCCCCCCAAATTTTGGGGTTCCCCCTAAATTTTGGGGTGCCCCACTCCCCAGTCCACCTCGATGTCCCCCAAATTTTGGAATTCCCATGAAATTCTGGTATCGCTCCAAATTTCAGCCATTCCCACCAAGTTTTTTGGTCGTAACTGAAATTTTTTGGATTTTCCCCAAATTTTTTGGATTACCCCCCAAATTTTGGGACTTCCCCCCAAATTTTGGGGTACCCCACTCCCCAGTCCACCTCGATGCCCCCAAATTTTGGAATTCCCACCAAACTTCGGTATCACTCCAAATTTCAGCCATTCCCACCAAGTTTTTTGCTCGTAACCGAAATTTTTTGGATTTTCCCCCAAATTTTGGAATTCCCCCCAAATTTTGGGACTTCCCCCCAAATTTTGGGCTGCCTCACTCCCCAGTCCACCTCGATGTCCCCCAAAATTTGGGATTCCCATGAAATTCTGGTATCGCTCCAAATTTCAGCCATTCCCACCAAGTTTTTTGCTCGTAACCGAAATTTTTTGGATTTTCCCCAAATTTTTTTGATTCCCCCCCAAATTTTGGGACTTCCCCCCAAATTTTGGGGTGCCCCACTCCCCAGTCCACCTCGATGCACCCCAAACTTTTGATTTCCCACAAAATTTTGGTATCGCTCCAAATTTCAGCCATTCCCACCAAGTTTTTTGGTCGTAACCGAAATTTTTTGGATTTTCCCCCAAATTTTTTGGATTCCCCCCCAATTTTGGGACTTCCCCCCAAATTTTGGGGTGCCTCACTCACCAGTCCACCTCGATGTCCCCCAAATTTTGGGATTCCCATGAAATTCTGATATCGCTCCAAATTTCAGCCATTCCCACCAAGTTTTTTGGTCATAACCGAAATTTTTTGGATTTTCCCCAAATTTTTTGGATTCCCCCCCAAATTTTGGGGTTCTCCCCGGATTTTGGGGTGCCCACTCACCCCCTTCGCGGCACCACTCCACCAGGTAGCCGTCGATGCCGCCGGCGCCCAGGCGCTCGGGCGGGCGCCACTTGAGCGTGGCCGTGGTGTCGGTGACGTCCTCCAGCACCAGGTGGGTGGGTTCGCTGGTGGGGGCTGCGGGGGG